ACTTTTGTGCCAGCTAGCTCACAATTGTAAACAAACTTCTTTCTGCCTGTTTCCTCTCTCTTTCTCTTTATTTCTCTCTCTCTCTCTCTCTCTTTATTTCTCTCCACTCATGAACTGTCAAACTACTCCTTCAAAAGATCCAAGTTACACAAATAAATGAAAAGATTCCAAAATGCGATCCAAATATAGCTCAATCTAATCAATAACAACTAAAAAAAGCCCTAACACACTACGAAGTGGGTTGGTAACTTCTTGGTTGGTCCATTCAAAAGACCAAATCCCACTAGACAAAAAGACAGGCATTGTGTACAAGATTTTTTGCACAGATTGTAACAATTCTTATGTTGGAGAATTAACTGGCAGAGCTCTTAATGAGCAATTAAAAGAAAACAAAAGAGCCCTCAGATTGAGTAACCCATCCCATTCAGCTTTAGCTGAACACGCCCTCAACACAGGACAAAATATTGGATGGGATGATACCCTTATTAACTTTGAAAGCAACTTTTGACCAAGAAAAGTGAAAGTCAATATGGATTAAAGGTAAAGACCAGTTATGGTCATGCGATTGCATTGTGAAAGAAACGTTGTGGAATCGATCAGAAAAGGTTGATCATCTAGCATCTAGCATCTGCAAGGTTCTGGAATCATCAAAATGATAAGAAATTTGGCCCATTCTTCGTAAAGTTACAAGCACTATACACAGAAAGATGTATATGGGACTACCCTATATCTCTCACAGACCATGAGAGAAACAAATTTACCAAATATATGAATTAGTAGGCGGTTTCCCGGCAAATTTTTTATCATCATGTATTAGTCAAAACATATTCTTTCACATGATTGGTAATGAGAGCTTCCATTTCATTTTTTGAAATTGGGGCGTTTCCAATACTGGTTTTTACCTTTAAGAGGATTAATCCTACACTAAACAGGGACTCTGGATTTGGATACCTATTGTCACCTACATGTACATGTATCTTTGGTCCAGTGATCGCAAGACACAAGGCAGGACTGAAATTGTGACTGATCACTTGGCTTGAGAAAGTCCACACGAGTGGACGAAAGCTTGCCCACAAAATTCAAGGTTGGTAGAAGCTTTAAACATTACATTATAACAAAAGTGTTGTTTATGAATATTTCAATAATATCACCAACACAAAATAAAAATAGCTACCGTTACAAATAACTTCATTTTCATACATGACATCCACAAACTGTTTTTAAAATTTAATATAATTTTGTGTTGCATACCCTGCCCATCCTCAAGCAGGGCTATCAATTTTGTACAATCATCACTTATCTGGTAACCAAAATATTTGATCTTAAATATGTTTTTAAATAGGCCTGTGTGAACTTAAAGATAAACTTGAGTTCTGGTAATGCGATTGCATTGTGAAAGAAAAGGTGTGGAATGGATCAGAAAAGTTGATCATATAGCATGTAATGCTATGGTCACAAACCCCTAAAGTAGCCTGCTCGGCGGCCGAGCGGCGAGTTTTTAACCAATTCTGCCCGGCGGCTGCCCGGCCACCGAGGGGCGGCCGCCCAGGCACCGCTCGTTTTTAGGGCATCGCTCGGTCGCCGCTGAAGTTTTAGCGCAGAGTTAAAATTTGGGCGGCGCCTGCTCACTTTTCACTCACCGCCCAAAATACGCTCGGTGCCTGGGCGGTCGCCGCCCGGGCACCGACCTAATCGCTGGGCGATGCCTAAGTCCAGCAGCGACCGAGCAGGCTACTGATCAGTCGGTCGCTGTTCTGATTTGTGACCATAGCTTAAGTAATGGTGTGTACTGCAAGGTTCTGGAGTCATCAAAATCATCATAAATTTGGCAGAGTCTTGGTAAAGTAACAATCACTTACACAGAAAGATGTATATGGGACAACACACATGGTGTCGGGGCTGGTACTACCCTGATTTCTTTATCTTTCTATGCTCATTACTCAGCCAGTATACATTTTCTTCCAAAATTGTTTGGCACATGACATTTATTTGTAATCTTGAACATTCAGTGTAAGTTTTGTTAGATTCTGTGAGAATTCATTTTCTTTTTTTACCAGAACTCAAGTTTATCTTTAATCAGGAAGATGCTAGCTTGAAGCCTAAAAGCATGTAGTCCTCTACAAATTATGAGCACTGTTTTAGGTAATCAGCTAGTTGCTAGGTCTTCAATATAGACTAGCACAATGCTGCCACAAACATAACAATATTTCCTGCAAATTTGCAGCATACACTGTATATAACTACACATGTCCAGTCAAACCTCTTTGGCTAAGTAGTATTCTTGTTGGAAATTAGTAGGACCAAGGTAAGCTGGTATCTCTTTGGTAGGACTGGATACATTGTCTGTTTTCTATGCCTTTGCATCTCTAAGGTCCATCTACAATTCTACATGTATATCACGCAATGATGCTCATTACATGTGGGCCCAGCATAGCGCACAAGGATGTCAGCCTTCAATACAGAATGTTCAAGCTGCTTCATTCATGTACAGTCAATCAGTCATGTTGTAGTATGCCTACAGAGCTAGGAGCCTTCAAGAAGGTTGTCTCTCAAAATGGACTCGGGTTGCAAGACACAGTCATGAAATTCAAGCTTGTCCGCGATACATAAACTGAAACTTTATCGTTCTTATGAATACAAAAGTTAATGCTCTGACCAGTGAGATGTACAACTTTTATTTAATCTCCCTGCTCTGACCAACAAGTTCGAATTGACTGAACAGATGATACTGTCTTTCTACTATGGATCAATAAGTTCCAATTTTGGCAAGAATCATATAATGTCTACAGTTGTCTGCTTGTTTTCCCATTTAGGCTGTTTTATAAATAGGTGAACAAGAATTCATCAAAAGCAATACAAGTGCAAATTAAGAGTTTTATGCCCCGTTTTATGATACTAGGTCTTTCACCATCACTACACATGGGTGAATCAATCCTACAGATGCAACTGTTGCATGAGTGTAAACTTTTCCTGGAAAATTGGGCACCGCTCAAGTAATCCTTTTAGACATTGCACGATCACAAGAATTTTAGTGTGATACAAATAATAATCATTAATTTCTCCCTATTCCACTTTATATCACAAATCACAATGAATGTATTTACAATATATATGAACCTTGTCACATCAGCTTTCGATTACAATTATGAAAAGAACACAAACATGTCAGGAAAATCAAAATATTTGTACTACAAATAATCCTCTCTTGTGAACTATACTGCAAAGTGCAAACATTAATTTGAAAGCAAATTAATGAATTGGTTAAATCCTATGCATCTTGTTCATTAAAATTCCATCCATTAAAAACATTCCTCCTCCCACACAAGAATACCTTGAATGATCTATAAAATATACAACGTTCTGATAATTAAATGACATTTAGAGTGACAAAAGTGGTTATTTTGTAACTGAAATACAAGCAACAACAACTTAGAAGTGCAAAGGCACAATGTCAGAAACATGATAATTGAAAAACATTTCCGAAGCCAGACAAAATAATGGTTATTTTGTAATTGAAATGCATTGTACAAGCAACAACAACTTGAAGTCCAAAGGCGCAATGTCAGAAATGTGATTCCAAAACAGCCCAACAAAAATGCACTCTGGATAACCTTTTCCGGGATAGGACCCAGCGCACACAGTCAATAGATCTAAAGCCACCGAAGTCTGTATTGACTAGACAATAGGCCACTGGAACCTATTGTGAATGGCTTTCTGTTCTGATTTAAATACCCCTGATAAAGTGATTATACAACACAGTGGTTTAGAAGTCCCTTCACCGTATTTATAAGCAACAGAACAGTTAGAAAGTAGCTGTTTCTTTTGACAAAGTTACTGAATGATTTAAAATCCATTAATTCTAAGAACTACTGTGTAGATTGATGTAGATATTTAAGGGGCGCAACTCGTGAACTGCCCCCCCCCCCTCCATTTACAACCCCCATCAGGACTCCTCAAATATCCAATATCCATCAATAAAAATATGCTCACTGCACCCCCCCCCCCCCCCTCCCACGCCTTCCAAAAAGAATCTGCCCTTGCTTTTATAAGGAGGATTCATGTCTTGCAACAGGCCTACAAGTTTGTTTTAGGGGCTGGATGACACCACATCCATCTCTATTATTTATCCTGCTTTTAAACTAACTTGTGTTAACTTATGACTATTATGACTGTGAAGCAATCGCTTAACCATATTGGGGCCTCGACATAAAGAGGAGAAGCTACATCAATCAACAAAAAAAAAAAACAAGAGCTTACGTGTCAAGTACAAGTGTAGGCAGAAGTGTTTGATTCTTGGAGTAACATTTCATCACAAGTTTTTATTAGCATCCATAAGGGAATGGAATTTCCTCTATTTTTGTTTATGCACATACATATAATCCTGCAGGATATTGGGGGCAGGCCGGTGGGGGGGGGGGGGAGGGGGGTTTCTTCATTTCAGAATGAAAAAGGTCTGGGAGTCCTCGGGCAATGTTGATTAACAAATTAAATTGTCCATGTTGCTGGAATGTGAATGACCAAAACAATGAATTATACATGTACATTGTAGGACTTAGATTATTAGAACAAACAAGATTTCATTTATAATTAACCCAAATGCTGGAAAGATCATTGTGGTGACGGTACATCTGCACTGTAGATGGAGCTCTGTGATTAAATTCTGTTATTATTACAATTAATATGAAATAAGGTGATGGAAAATGAAATTTTTAAAAACACTGAGAAACCTGCTTGGGCTGTAATAACTCTTACTTACAAGATCAAATTCAGATGCAGAGTTGATTAATGCCAACCTTTTGACAAATATTAATGACTGATTTCACAAACTTTCAGATCATATTTGTCACTACTTTCATGGCAGCAGACTTAGCCAAGCATGTGTTTTAAGACCGACCGACCAGTCATGCCAATCTTGTCCGATTCAATGTGATCAAATGGCAGATTTTTACATTTCAGATATTCTTACTTTCCCTTGTGATATAATTAACAAGTCTACATACCTTGATGTAAAATCGTGGCTTTAACATATTGAAACTGTTAGGCACAGGTTGCACAATATTTAGTCCATCGTATTCCAGATAATTCTGTGAGTGAAAGAACTCCTCTTTATCTTGCGATTGTTTGGAAATTCAGTCTTTTCCCATGAATGGCCACAAATTTGCAAGGCTACTGTTTCACGTCGTCACACTCATTCAACTCCATGTCTACACTTAGCTGACGAGGAAAAGTGGTTCCTCTATTCTTGCAAGTCGAGCTCAAATCGTCGATCAAAGAAAAATCTCAAGGAGCTCACTTTGAATAGCGAAAGTCTTTTCAAAAGAAAATCCAAGATTTATGGTGCAGAAAGTAGAGCCCGATTGTGAATGAATGTGTCCCTGGACACTGCCGCTGACTTTCCGCTAGGCTAGACTCTTTTGCTCGACTCAACACGAAAGAATGTGTGGTCCCGTAAACGTTGGTGCATCATCAACCCACACACAGCATCCTTTGTGTTTTCGCTTCCTCCTCCTCAATTTTAGCTCACGAATGATTTTAGAAGATGCCCTCAAGAATGTTTATCTGCATTCAACTCGTCCTTATTCAACAAATTAAGAGTTCAAGAGCAAGCAAAAACACAAACTCTAGCAACGTACGATTCGTCAGACGAATGCATGGGAAAGTAATTTTCTAAGACGTAAGCTCACCAGATGAATAATGACGGTTTGTTTAGAGAACGCGGCCAAACCATCAGCGGAGCGCGATGACGTTTCTCCGATAATCTTGCGGGCAAGATGGGGCAAAATGTTGGTAGCAGAACAGCCTTGTGCGACGTAGTAATAGATGTAATCCGACACCAGAAACTAGCTCGGCCAAGTGGACTCCTCCATACTGGAATTTACTACCAAAACAGAGGGGTGTTGGTGAAAATTGTTTATAGTAGAGTGGGAGAAAAACATATTCCAAGCAATGAAACCCAATCAAATTGAACCAGCGAAACTGAATAATAGCATGGTGAGAAGTCTTGTAAAGCCTACAGGTTCAGGTATGATATACCTAAAAGAAACTTATCAGATTAAACAAAGAAACAAAATGATGATGAAGCTGAAAAGAAAGCGCAATTGTGTAATGAACGGTTGGGGGCTTTATATCCAACTTGCATTTCAGATATTAGACTATTAACGGTAATGTGTCTGTCTATACTGTTCACGAATCATTTAAGTGTTCCATGCTCACACGGTGCGTCAAAGACAACGAAAGTCCTGCGTCAACGAAATAACGCACCGGCGCTAATTGATCCCGTGGAGGCAGTTTGTCCGATGTGCAATTTGTGTGCACTGTTCATTTCCCATTGCTTTTTGTGCAAACTGTAGTCGCCCTTCATAATAATAATAAAATTGGATTTTTATATAGCGCACGTATCGACCTTGCAAGGTCCTCAAGGCGCTCCAACATTACCCGGCTATGCCATGGTATGAAAATACAAACTTTGGCGTTAATACAAAAAAAATTGGAGGTGCCCCCCCCCCCCCCCCTCTTCAATTTCCCCTTATTTCACCAGACCTGTAACAAAACGCAAAATATTACCCCCCCCCCCCCCCCGGAACATTGATTACCCCTGAGATTGTTTCATTCCTGTTTCAGATCTATATGATGACTGAGATATAGGTGATATAGGGGCAAAATCATTCGGGTCAAACAAAACTTTCCCACTAATAAATATCCGGTTTATGTTTCAGTTGATTATCATAGGCTGACTTGACTTGGGGACTACTTGCTCCACATTGTTTGCCCTCGGAAATGCAACATTCATATCATATGTTTTAAAAATCGAGGAGAGGAAAAAGAGAATTCATTCATGAGTTTGAAATATGGACCAATATGCACCTGTCCGTTCAGCCTTGTAATCCTCATATGGGATGCACTCATCGGAGTCTCATTCTCCGGTATACCGGGGTGAGCAGGAGGAGGAAAGAGACATAATGAGAACATTTTGATTGGGGGATGTTGGTCGAAATTTGAGGAGTCTGTGCTTTAAAGGGATCCGGAAACTTTGTCTTAGATCCTTAGAAATAATCCTTGATTTAGCTCATTAGCTGCAATGATAATTATAAACCTTTAGGTCAGTCAGGAACTCCATGACTTTTACAAGCCAATCGCCTGTCTGATTATCAAGACATTAATGATTGGAATTATAAATTTTGAAAACCGTTCGCCGAACGGTTTTCATAACACTACAATCTATTGGGGAAAACGAGTATGGTAAAACCGGTCACTCAAAGATTTTTACTTTTTTGAGGCACTTCTTGATCATTTTGAAGCGCGATTTTTTTTTTTAGGGCTTCAATATTACACCATATCAAAGACACTAGTAGCATGTAGGACCGTGTATCTCAGATTTAACATTGTTAAACGATCCCTTTAAAAAGACAATTTCAACAACATAAAAATTCTTGAAATGTACATTGTAAATCATATAGGTAGATCAGGGGCGTGGGGATGAAAAAAGTTTAATGTGATCCTTCTCCTTTATTGAAATGAGAGAACCTGACATTATTTTAAGGGTGACAAGGTAATATTGTTAATCAATCCTCCCCGGTCCTCCCGTGAAAAAATGTCGTGGTGCCTCCATTGTACTTGTAGTCAAACATACCATCAAACATGCAATGATTCAGTGGCGGATCCAGGATTTGTCGATAGGGGGGGGGGGGGGCTATAAATGTGAAAATCGCACAGACCAAAATTTCGCTCACTGGAGGGGGGGGGGTAGTGAGCATTTTGTATTTTTTGTGAGTGTTTATTTTTTTATTTTTTTTTAAATATTTAAATTGCCAGTGGGGCGCGGGCCCGTCGCCTCCCACCCACACCCCCGTTAATCCACGCCTGCAATGATTCAATATGAATTACGGCCGTTATGAGGCGTCATTTATTTTAGACTATTTAGCGTAGGACTGCGTCAGTCACTAGTGCGGTCTTTGATGTGCCAAGTGCTTGGGCCTTTGGGGTGGTAGCCTCTTGTCGATGGCTATTGTGGTGGCTGAGAACGATTCATTGCAAAAAGAACAGTGCATACGTTGCGTTGTTTAAAGCTAAAACAACCCCACATGTCATTTGTTTATAATCTTGAACATTCAGTGTAAGTTTTGTTGGATTTTGTGAGAATTTATTTTCCATCATTAACTTGAGCATGGGCCAATTGCCCATAAGGGTTTAATTAGCGCAGGTAATAACGCAATCGAATTATCGCCTCATATACAAAGGGTGTTAAAACATCCCTTTAATAATCATGTTCACTTCCGTCTGTGCGATGGGAGCATGTCAACCTGTTCAGATAAATGATATCATCCATCATCTTCGTGCTAGAGGTCATATCTAGGCCGTCTATATCACATTCAAAATAAATCTTCCAGCAGCTGCAATGTCATTGTCACATGACGGTAACCAAAGACAAGAACATTCGACCGGCGGGGGTCGATCTATAGACAACTCCATCTTACAATCTATGTCGTTGATAATGAAGCTAATGAAGTAGAGTCAAAGTGACAAACTAGTACATTATCTTATCGAGTGGAGCATTGTTAACTCCTGCAACCATTTGTGGACGATGAAAGTAATATCCAACCGACAGAGGTGTAAAGACAATCTCATCTTACAATTTTATGCGACTGATTTGAAATGCAGAACAGTCGTGGTGAAAAAAATAGCAAGTATCTTATCATGTAGATTGTAGAGTATTAATAAGAAACGTCCCACAATCATTATTTTTGTGGAAAATGTATAGATGATAGTCACTCGTCTGGTTTGTATAAGGGCGTCCCTATCTTACAGTCTTGTCTCGCAGATTTGAAAGGCAGAAAAGTGAAAATGATCTTATCCCCCGGAGCAGTGTCAAGATTATTATTATACCTCATGAAATCTTTTACCCAAAATGTAGATAACGGACATTATTCTGCTGTCTAAAGACGGTCGAATTATTTTGTTTGTCCCAAGGTTATTCATTTTGAAACTCATATTTCCCATATCAGGGAGTTAACAACTCCGAAAGTGAAATATGATTCATTTATATTCCGAAGGTTCATGATTCCGAAAAACGACACGGCGTTCTATGTAATTTTCGGAATTATGAACCCTATTTCATTTTCGAAATAAGAAACCTGATATTTCATTTTCGGAAATACAAAACTTCGGAATTATGAATCTTCGGAAAGTTCAGAAGTTAAAAGTCAAACTAAAAAATAACAAGTACATCCGGGAATGTACTGTTACTGTGCACCTCCTCCAAACATTTTGTATGGGAGGTTTAGATAACTTCTCTTATACGAATAAAAGCTGGGCGAAAAGCTACAGAAATAAGAGATGCCCGAAGCTATAGAAATAAAAGGTGTCCGTGATTGATTTTTGATAAATTGCTAGATTGATTTACGGTATTTCGGTTATAACTGTTGATATTGATTATTGATTCACAGTATTAGATGACCCAGAATGTCTGTTTGACAACATTTAGGCTTGTCCACTTAGGTCAGAATGTTCATGAATTTACTTGTTGATAATACATATAGGTTTATTACACTTGATAATTAGGTCAAACAAAAATCTGTTTCTCGATGTCCTGATTGTCCTCTTTCGAAATGAGGACAAAGTGATTATTACAGGAGAAGTATAGGTCAACCCAGTTGGGTTTCCCTGGTGAGTTTGATGGTAGGCCTTTTTCAATCTGATGAGAACGAAATAAAAAAAACTGTTTTAAAAATACCTTTTAGATTTCATGTTTGATCTGTATCAAATTTGTCATAACTTTGTATAGTCATATGGCAAGAGAAGGCATTTATTCGTAACAACTATTTAATTCATGAAATCGTAGAAAGCGTAATGTAATAGAAAAGAGAAACAGAATTGATATTTTTTTGTGGGACTGCATATATACATGGTATAGGCTAATATGAAACATTATGACCGTAGCTTTTAATTTATAGTTCTATAGAATCTAAACAAGTCGGCTATATTGATAGAATAAGTTATTCTGTAGCTCACGGGTTCTGTTATCACCATCACTTCTGTTCCTTTGCCATTTAAGCATTACAAGCTTTTCAATAAGCCCGCTTTTTTAGGGGACGGACAATTTTATTAGCCATTTATAGGGTTCTACCTTTTGTCTGTAGTCGAAGCTAAGAATCGCGTCTATAAAGGGGTATTATAGATAAATAATGACAATATTATCTGAATTAATAAAACGTTTTTATTTTCCAAGGATACAAAGCACAGCACTGAATACCACTATTATGCACAATAATATAAAGGAGTTTGACCTCTATCCAGTGAACTACTTCTCGTCTTTCTCTTTTCTCCTTTCGCTATAGTAACTAAAAAGGTGGGTGTAAGCCCTTCCCCGTTTTGTTGAAATAAAACTAAAACGTTCGTGATGAAACAAGGCTTGTGCAAAAACAGGTCGGCTACACTTGTAATAAATTCGTCATTGGTTGACCGTGCCTTAACACGGGGCATCTTGATTGAATCTGGACTATTCGTCTTATGTCACGTACAAAACAGCCTGACCAACTTAAAGGTGTGATACTTTATTAATCGAAAAGGGAAACAAATTTATAAAAGTAGCAAAACAAGGCGTTTTAAATTATGGCAACGGTGAAACCTATCATAAAGGTATGCCCTTTAGTCTAGACCAGAAAAACTTGGTATTTAATGTTGTGACGGTGTCATATATTACATGTATTATGTGGCAAAGGTAATTAAAACAAATCTTTATAATCACCAATGACGAACCATTTATTTAAAATGAGTCACAGGGGCACTTCCAAGTGACATTTTGCCCACCTTCGCGAGAAGGGGGCATGCATTTTGAGCCTTTTTTCACACAATACTGACACAGCTATGTGCACTGATCCGCGTCACATTCTGAAATAATATATGTGAACAATATAATGA